CGAAGTTCTGTGATCTCTGCTTACGTCTTTGGATTAACTGCATGAGTTATGTTGTTATTGTTAAAAATATAATATAATAAGAGAGTTGTTACAAATTAAAACAAAAAAAACAATAACAATATACTCAAAAGAGAACAGACAGAAATAAGCAATTATTTTGTTACTTTGTAGTGCATTAAAATAGGTTTAAATCAGCTGTTACAGTAACTTTTAGATTTGTGCATCTATTATCTTTTAAACCTCTTACCAGTGTGGATCAACCAGATGCAGCATTTCCTGTGGCACTTTATCAACAACGGTCTGGTTGGTTACGCCGTACGCCGACATCTGTCCAGTCCATTCTTCTAATGTCATTGTGATGGACTGAAAATATGGTTAGAAGAATCATCAAGTACATAAAGTCTCAGGAGAGTCAAGAGAAAGGTCTCATAATAAACTAGAGTAAATTGCTAAAATCTTTTATTTAGGTACATTTGTTCAGATAACTCTAGTGATTTTTACGCGGCATAATCAAAAATAAAGAGCGTCGGTGGCTGAGGGGTCACTTGATTTGCAATCTGCAGGTCCTGTGTTCGAATCCCGCCATGTACCAATGTGTTTTTCGATTTCCGATTTTACATATGTACATTTATCCGACTTTCTTACAGTGAAGGAAAACATCGTGATGCAACCTACACATATGTGAGAAGAAATTCAAAGATATGTGTGAAGTCAACCAACCCGCATTAGGCCAGCGTGGTTGACTATGGCCTAATCACCCCTAACTTAGGGTAGGCTCCAAGCCCCTCGGTGGGGACATATAGTGAGCTGATGATGAATGATGATGAATAATCAAAAATATATGAAAACAAAAAATGAATCTTATCTTACTAATATTATAAATGCGAATGTTTAGATGGATGGATGTATGTTTGAAGGTATCTCCGGAACGACACAACAGATCTCGCTGAAATTTGGCATAGATGTAGTCATAGAACATAGTCTGGATGATGGCTACTTATTTTTTTTTAATACCACCCGGACGGAGTCGCGGTCGGCAGCTAGTAATATATGAAGTTAAAAGAACAAACTTACGTTAGTGAAAAGTCGGCTTCCAAAAAAGTCTTGGAGAAAAACAATATTATGAACTACTCCAGACTAATTTGCAACCTCCGGTTGGAGTGAGGTTGGTCACACTACTCGTCTTTTCGTTCATACCTCCTCGCTTTTATAATAAAAACCTAAGGATTAAAATTAGGGTAAGTAAAAATCGATATTCATAATAAGATATGTTAATACCCAAGGTGAAGTTTCGTATTCTAACTTAACTAACAAGCTTTGGCTTAAGTATATTTTGAATATTATATTTACGGTATTCAAACTCATTTGCGAATAAATTCTTTAACGTAATCTGTATTACTTCAAAAATATAGTTACACTGTACAGTTAAACCCCCGCGTTGGCCCTCACGGCGTATAGGGAGCGTACTCCGTGTGGCGGATGGGGGAGTGGTTGGTAGAACAGCATAGCTACGCTACCCAGCTAAGCCCGGTGAGCTCGCTGACCAAAGTAGAGTGTGGTCCTCCAGCAATATGGGGGTTCTGCAGCGGGCTGACAATCGACTACGGAAAAAAACAATTGTTACGAAATCGACAAAAGAGAAGGATCTCTTGTGTCGGAGGCCAGGACCCACTTTGGGTCGATGCGGCAGCGGAGTAAGTATAGTTAAACACGTGTTTTAACCGTTTGAACGCCGGTGAAGGATATAGGTATAAGGACGAGTGGTTATATTTACCCACAGTACCACCATAAATATGTATCCACAGTTATTTCGGTGAAAAACTCATTTCCAGGCCATGATTTGTCGAAAATCGGCGCTGGGTGTTATAATGTAATGTAAAAAGATTGACGAATGTTCAAAGTTAAATGCATTTGAAACATTGTCTAATTTTTATAGTTATGCCCAATCTTACTGGTCGCGTAGTCTTATTGTTCTGTCATCAGAAAAACATGAAAATAGTAGTCGATTCGGTCGTCGAAGGTGATGAAAATTATCAGACTATCAGTGGGTTTCTGAGATAAAAATCTCAAACATAATGACAAGGATGTCGATTAGTTTTATACGGAGATTTTGGAGAATCATTTAAAAAAGATAGATAATAACATTGAAAGAAAATTACTCCATAATATCGTAGACAACCTAGATAAGACCACATTCTTTAAAGCGCAAACTTTGCTTGACGCTACTGTCTAATACAAATTTACAATTCATCTTCAAGTTTCTATACTCATAAGACGCTTTAAAGCGCTTTACTCCCACAGAAGGCGTTAACTTTTCTTAGTGTAAAGCAGCTTTATTAAGAGGCAGTACTGCAAGTCCTCAAGCATCTAATAAAGCATGTAATGCATACCGCTACTGCACGTGTTACTACTCTATAAGTATCCAGTATGATTGGGGCCACGAAATATACGAGTTTTTAGTCACGCTTCACTCTGTACTTTGATAACCAGTTTTACATTTTATTATTGGATTTCCTCCAACTTTTCAACTAACTATTGTTATTCGCATTTATAATATTAGTAAGATTAGTATAACATAATTTTAACCCTGTGATTTTATTACCGAGACTTTGGTTGTTATTGTTCAAATCTGTCTTTGTGTGTGAAAATTTTAAACACTTTTAATATTACGTCTTTCTTAGCATTAACAAATGTTAACGAATGCAGCAATAGTAAAGAAAGTGTCAAGAGTTTTATAATGTAACTAGCAGTCGCCCGCGACTGCGTCCGCGCAGAATTAAGAAATATAAAAATATCCTGTGTTCTTTCAGACTATAATCTATATCTATGCCACATTTCAGCGAGATTCATGTAGCTGTTCTGCAGATACTTTCAAACAAACATCATCTAAACATTCACATTTTTAATATTAGTAAGTTAAAATCGTTAGTTTCGTGGCTCAACCTCTTACAAGCGTTCCGCATTCTAGTTCCTAAGGTATTGTTTTTACTCGTGCAATCTGTCGGAGGCACGCCCAAGAGCGATCGAAATCTGCACAGGATAGGCGCATACCGTCCATTACTTGAATAGCTATTCTCTTCGAAGCCTTCGCCGTGTATTCAAAGTTCAAAATCTATTGTTTTCCTTTGTTTCATTTACTAAACTAAAATGTACACTTTACCTACAAAAAGAATTGATCGATAAATTTCAAAATCATCGACCTTGTTTTTAATATTTACTTTGGTTAATTGCTGTGTGAAATAATTCAAGCATTTTCAATGAACGCCTGCGACTTGAAGAACGCCAGATGTTTTCAGAAAATTCGTGATCTCGAGTAAAACTAAAGCTAACATTTAGCAATCTTACTAATATTGTAATTCTAAAGAAGATATCTTCAGAACAGTTGAACGGATCTCGCTAAAATTTGCTATACATATTGAACAATGTCAGCTGTCCCCCGCGACACTGTCCGCGCTGACCGTAATAAGTAGCCTATGTGTTCTATACGTATGCCAGATTTAATTGAGATCCGTTCAGCCGTTCTAGAGATACCTTCAAACAAACATCCATCCATCCATTCATCTAAACATTCGCATTTATAATTTTAGTAAGATAGCCTAAAAGAACACTATTTTTTTTTATTTCGCCTGGAAAAGTCGCGGGCTACATCTAGTTGTTAACATATTATAAGTACTAAAATAATTTATGGCACGGTTAGGACAAAAGAATGAGCATCTTCCTGCATCTTTTCTTCTTCTTCTAGTGCCTTTTCAGTCTTGAAGGTTGGCCGCTAACTTGCATCTTTTAATATACTAATTAAAACCCAAAAAATATATTCAAGAAAGAATAATCACACACCTAAAATTAGGCTTTCAATGATTGAATTTGTTACCTGACACATACGTAACTGATTGTGCAAGATATGAGATAATGAAGGGCAATGTATGCCTCAGCCGTCCTCGTGCATAAATCAAAGTCACAGATCATCTGCATCCGAGACGCCTATTGCATCGACGTCATTCCAAAAACCGCGCCGTCCGGTGCGTGATTTATAGCACGGATGATTACATTGCGCAGCGCGTATGTGATTTATGCGACAACCATATCAACGTCAATGTCGACGTAGCGATGTATTTCAATCATTGCAACTATACTGTAATTAGTAGTTTGAAATTAAGAATGTTTTCAATCAAGACTTTGTAGTGATTTGTAGTAGCCTCGCGAGGCGATGTCAGGTCGGCAAGTTTGCTAACCTTACACATAGAAAACGTAACAAGATAACAAAGTTTAAATAAAACAAACAATATTTATAATATATCTACCATTATTCCGATAGTCATATTGGTGAATAGACTGATAGCGAAGAGTTTCGACCAACATCTCAAGAAGCTCTCCCTAAACAGTTGGATTAAGGGCACGATACAAAAGGCAGTTATCCTAGAAACCGCACGCATCGTGAGAAGGTTCCTGTCTCTGCAGCCTTGACCACTAGTTGTTTGAGTCATGAGACTCCGCAGCCGGTGGTGCTCTATTTTTAATACAATATATTTTGTATAATTTTTTATTTTATATATGAAATGTAATATATTAAGAATCTCTCTCTCTCTCTCTCTCCCTAGCTTGCATCCCACAAGGTGGTGGGTGGTGCAAGGTGGAGTAAATTAAGAATAAGGTTAATAAATTAATAAGAAAATTGCAGCGTTTATAACATTATATAGATTTTATTATAATACTTGTATATCAATCTTAAATAATAAGAAACCCATTTCACTTTACAATTAATTTTTAATTTAACCAAAAAACTACGATTACTCAAACTTTCGTGAGACATTATACTAAACTGATATATAAACACGGCGAAACACTCACGTATATACGTCCGGTGGCTGCACGGTGAGCGACGGGCCGCGTCCGCGAAATAATACCAGTACCACTCATCCTGATGAAGGGCCCCCGATGGGCTCGAAACTAGTCGGTGCCGCCACCGGACGTATATACGTGAGTGTTTAGCCGTGTTTATATATCAGTTTAACTGCGATTACACTAAAATTCTTAAATTCTAAAACATGTAAAAACTTCTTTGCACCTAACTACATTAGCTATACTTATATTACAGTATAATTTCTCTTTACGTCACAAATTTCATAAAATGACAAAAAAAATATCAAAATGGCCGCTATGTATGAAGTTTGACGTTCCTCTACTTAATTTAAGTGTTCAATTGAACGGATAGGAGCTGCTATAAAGTTTGAATATAATTATATTATCGTAGTCTTATTCTTGACATCCTAGCATTTTGTTTATGAATTTACGACAATCGGCTCGATGCAGTTTTCCGCTGTGTGTACGTGGTAATGACGTCACGAACGCAATCCCACCTCGTAAACGCTTGTAATCACTAAGGGTAGCTTGAAAAAGTAAACATAAAATTTTATTAATATTATAGATGCGAATGTTTGGATGTATGGATGTTAGGTTTAGGTACTTTTCACCCTATATTTAAATTAGTTTTATAAATGGATGCTTAAATGGAAGTCCCGGCACAAATGTTAGTATGTACCATTTTTGTTAAAGTAATAAATCATTTTTTCATTTTTTCAAGTAATAAATCATTTTTTCATTTTTTCAAATGTTAAGATGGATGGATGGATGGATGTTTGTTAAGATATCTCCGAAACTGCTCAATGGATCTCACTGAAATTTAGCATAGATATAAAACATAGTCGGGAAGAACATATAGGATACTTCTTAAGTTTTTTTTCCTCGCAAACAGAGTCGCGAGCGATAGCTAGTTATATATAATTACTACGCCAGGTGTATGTGGTTACTTGTAGCTTTGTCTCGAGTTATTTGTCGAATCTAGATAAGCTGTCTCAAGAGTAAGTATTAAGACTTACAGTTAACAATGTCATCGATATCATTCTCTGATATATGGTAACTAGGTTGTCTGACAACGCCCGCCGCTGGTCCTTTGTCAGTCTCGACGACAACGCATTCCTTGACCCCTGGTACACTGCCGATAACAGATTCCAACTCTTCAGGAGATATCTGGTCAGTATAAAAAGATGTTATTAACAAGCTCTTTGAATTGAATTTTGAAAAATGAAAAGAAATCTTTGAATGTATTTGTTTAGTGCATAAATAATAATTCTGACATAGTGGCATACTGGCCAGTAAGAACCTTTGCCTTTTTAATTGTAAAAAAAAAAGGTGAAAAGAAAAGAGAATAGCGCGAGAAGAAGCGACTAGTCTTCCGTGCTGCTGTTTTCAATTAATACATATTAAAGAATTAATTAAAACGCCATCTAGTGAAATGTAAATACAAAAATTTTAAGATAATATTACTGTAAGGGGAACAATGTGTCTGTCAATGTATCTTACGTGATAGTTCAAATATTTAAACCAAAACTTCTGTCTTTCAACAAAGAACATGAGGCCTTCATTGTTTTGGTAGAAAATGTCACCAGTCTTCCACCATCCGTCGCTCGATAGACATTCATCGTAAGCTTCAGGATTTTTGTAATAACCCTGAAACATTTATACATTAAACAATTGACTATCGCAAATAATCCAAATCTCATCTAAGCAGGATTAAAAGAATGATAAAGCTTCAATTCAAACATCATGCAATTTTTTAAAAATTGTGATTATTTTTGAAAGATTTGGTTAACTAACCTGCAATATACATAATTTGCTGCGCAAATATAACTGTCCTTGTTCACATTTTCCTACTTCCTCGCCAGATTCATTGCACAACTGAAAAATGTAAATTCTAAAAAAAGTACCATAGGCCCCTGCGAGATTCGAACTCGCGATCTCCTGTTTACTAGACAGGCGCTTTAACCAACTAAGCCACGGCGCCTTGCAACAATGGACTGAAATTAATTCTAAAAACAAAACACAACCCATATTGTGCTGACAATAGATACTATTCATGTTATTATTTGTAAAA